TGACATTCATCGCTCAGGCAATAAACGGGTCAGTCCTGGCTTCTATCAGTTTACAGTTTCATAGAATAAAACACGAGGCTCATCACCTCCCCCGATCTGGAAAAAAGTATTCACCAATTCTCTTTCCAGCTAGGATATGCAACTTACCCCTCTCTCCGGCATAAATTCAAGACAATCACTGTTTTGGCCTCCAGCTGGTAACAGACATTCAGGAGCTTAGGCTTGCTAATGGGTATCTAACACATGAACCTAGCATCAACGTATACACTGTAACCTTTCCTAAGCACTAAGCACTACCGACTGAAAAATTTTGACCTCCCGGAACCGCACTTAACCCAACACAACCCATAACATAACCACTAACACTAACCCCGGACACAACACTACCCACTAACACTAACACTAACGACTAACCCATCGGCATAACCCCTGAATCACTAACACTAACACTAACCACTAACCCCTGAACATCTAACACTAACCTAACACTAACACTAACCCCTAACGACTAACACTAACACTAAGCCACAACCCCTAACACTAACAGTAAAACCGCCTAAACTAAACCCACATTTAACCTCTAACACCTAACACTGATGACTAACATACACTAACCCCAACCACTAACACTAGACACATATACCCTAATATCTATAACCACTAACACTAAACCACTAACCCCTGAACACTTTAACATCTAACCCTAACACTAACCCCTAACACTACACCACTAACCCCTAACACTTAGACACTAACCGACCACTAACCCTAACACTAAGCACAACCACTAACACTAACTCTAACCCCCTAGGACACTACACTAACACTAACAACTATACACTCATAAGCCACTAACCACTAACCCTAACCTAACCACTTAACCTAACCACTAACCACATAATCCAATAACCCACTAACACTAGACCACTAACCTACTAACACGTATCCTACTAACACTACATATACCTCCTTAACACTGTAACATAACCTCCTACACTAACCAGCTTAACATCAACACTAACCACTAAACACTTAACCACTTAACACTAACCACTTAAACTAACACTACCCCTGAACATAACATATACACTAACCCACTAAGCCACAAACACTAACCACTAACACTAACCCTTAACAGCTAACCCCTACCACTAACATAAGCACTAACCCATAACACTAACCACTAACACTTAACACGGAACCACTAAACACTTAACCACTAATCACTTAAACCACTATACACTAACCACTAAACAGCTTAACCACTTAACATCTAACCCCCTAACCACACTTAACCCCTTAACACTAAGCCAGCTTTGATACGGTATTTCGTAGGATTTAAATAAGCATGTAACAACCAGCATGCAATAGCATGTTTGGAAACATACACAACCATATCTGTTGGTTAAGGAACCATGCTTCAACTTATAAAACTATTTGTTTAAATATTCCAACATAAAATACAAGATTGTGTGTTGTTAACAACTTACAGACAACTTCACAACCAACTGTTGGCCTCATAAAAGGGTCTTTGTACAGTGTAGAATTCACTCGTGGGTAACATCTTATTAAACCTTAGCACCCGTACCGATTAAGCAGCCCTAGCACATTCGATCATCCCTCTGCTGACATGATCATCTAACCCATCCGCTTAGACGATTAAGTTTGGACGATGTAAATCACCCCCCCATCTTTGTCAAGACTCTAGCATAATAAACACCGCATCGTTGGGAACCAGCTATATTAATCCACCACTCGTGATTTCTCGGCAACCTTAGCTCCATTGGTCAGTTAGTAGACGTGAGCACCTTTGAAAAGGACAACTAAACCTAAATAACTACAGGGCTCGACTCTTTAAAAGCCTCCCAGACTATGTTAGCAGGTAAGGAGTGCAAAATTCGTTCTCAACAGCATACACAGTCTAACGATTGAATACGATCGATTTAGTGCTTTAACTCTGTTTATGGATACTCGTTACCAAAAACAATACTTCTGAGTCTTTTTTATTTGAGTAGGTCGCTAGGAGGACTGCTGGAGTTGCAGTTTATATCCTGTCCTTGAGTCCAACGTCATGGTATAACACACTGTTAACCTAGCTTGGTATGGAATGATTGTCGTGAGTTTAAACATGTTAATGGCTTTTCTCCTGCTGACTAATCCACTTTAAATCGCGGTGATGTGTATTTTTCCATTTTAGTTGGGCCATCCGATTGGGCACCAACAGCGGGCAGTTTTGTGTGCACCTAACCCACTAACACTTAAACCCCTAATCCGCTCGGGTGTTCTAGAACAATGTTTACCCACTTTCGGCAATAACAGGCTAGGTCCTTCCAGTTTTCCCCTCATAAATAGGAGCTGCCATCTTCATTTATTGTACCTCACACCACATGTATAGCTCTCTTTTCTTGCGTCTACTCGTACGCTCTACCTCTACCTCGTCTCTCTTTCAATTCTCTTATCATGACCTCAAAATATAAGAACACGATGTTTCTGTATAGAAGATGATAGGACGGAATTGGGGATTATAACTCGCACTGGTTATATGAGGAACACTGATAAATGTCCCTTGATCACTGCCCTCTCTGTAATCGTCTCCAGTATGATTCTCACAGACACATCTACCATCGACAGAGACAATGTGCAATAGAGGGAAGCCTCTCTGTATAGGGTATACATCCATATAGCGCACCTTTTGTAGAATGCCCCTTTAACAGCGTCTTAAGACGAGCATTCAGTCATTTCAGGGGATAAACACAAGTCATTAGCAGCCCAAGGGGAACTACTCAGTCTTGGGTACTACCCCACTGAGTGTGAATGCAATGTCCACTTAACAGCTACCCCCCTTATAAACATGCACTTTAATGTTTTGTGAGTAATGGTGTATGGGTGCGAGAACAAGACGCCGAGGAGGCTGATGTTAAGGAGCTATTTATGGGTGTTACCCCATGTACATTCTGCCTACAACCAGTGATTTCCAGCCAAGAAACGTTTCAAAACGACGAACACACATGAATCCAGCTCCCTAAAAGATTGACTCAACTACCCACCATATATCGAGGACACTAACAAGTCTACCATCAGACACACTATCACTACCTATATACCGTTGTGGGTTAACACTAACCGAGGAACGGTAACAGAATTGGGGCCAACGAGTTAGTGATTCTCAATTTATACAACCTTCATTTAACCACCGCTGGACAGATAAATGATGACAAGGCACCGTTGATAGGTTGAAAGTACCCGAATCAGCACAAGAGTTTAAACTCATATTGTCATAAGATCTCTTAGCCTTGAAAGCAATCGTAGGTTTAGTCTTCTGCGATTCTGGTATTCGCTGTTAAATCTACTTCACGCCTACACAGTCAATCATAGTAAGCAGTGGGGCGTCATTTAGATCGTAAATCTCAGATCCTGATAGCTGTCATCATTTGCCGGTATAATTTACCTTCATGACGCACCTTGAAACTACTTTATATACTCTATCCATTTATTTGATGCTTCTAGCCTTTATATTTGATTTAAAAACAGGGGAAATGCTATGTATCATAGAGGATGGTTGGGAAGTTACTTCGTGTAACCTCTGTATAAGTGTATGTCAAAGCAAAGCAAACGAGTGCGATAAACGTTCATACTGAGATCTATGATGCAACATGTGTAATTTCCCCTTTGAGACAATTGGTATTACTACTATAATCCCCATCGGCAATATAGATTGCACAGGAGTTATGGATGGGTTTAAATATATACATGTGTTTTATTTACGCAGTTTACACTTGCTAGATCAAATGATATGACGCTCTAGCAACGCGTTATCCTATTTACACAACTTCTGCAGGTCACCTTGAACCACTCAGAACATTTTATGCACAATAAAGTCACCCTATAAAACACACAGACAGATTAATAAAACATATGAAGCATATCATCAACAATAGACTATATTACAGAACTAAACACCACCTCAACACGTTATATCTCTATCTATAAGCAATTGCCTACAAGCAAACTCAAGTCAATTAACCAAAGATAAAGGCAAAACAAATGATCTCAATAACATCCATATACTCTCCTTGGGCAAACCCGTCTTACACTACGTTTAACACTAACCACTAACCCACTATACACTATTTAACCCCCATGGAAAAACATGCAAGAACACAGCAGGATGAGCAACAGACATACCAACAGTATGCATCCTAGTCCCCTCAATAATCGCAACTCTTCTCAAGCACTTAACAACTGGGTCAGAGCCACTACTAATCGGAAGCGTGCTGCAGTTTGGATCTGATAGTTATTAAAAGCAGCGCTCTAATATATGCGACAATTAACGAGCGTAACTCACTTAACTCACTAATAACAACCTAACCCACTAACTCACCCTAATAGATTAACTCTCTAAGATCAAAGTTAGATACCAAACTACTAACGTCACACCTTTAAACACTAACATCAAGCTATTTATAACGACTGAATACCTCATAACTGCACAGTACTACAATCCTAATCCCTAACACTAATCCAATCTGCCAAATACGTCTCAACTACTGCAATATGTATACACACGTAGAACCTGAAAGCCGTGTAAACCTTTAACAACAACTCTCCTACCTGTAACCAGTAACACTAACACACATAACATGTAAACTAAAACATATCATAGAGCCCACGTATGATACCTCTGAACTTGTATCCATGTTTAAATGAACCGATAATGAAACATGAAGCTATTTATAGACGCAGCATAACAAAACTACTCACCTAACAACCGCAAGTATGTGATATGACCACAGAACAAATCGCAACTAGCCCTACCTCGGACATACGTATTATCTCCTCAACAGTATATATGGGCAATCGTATACAACCAGACAGTTTTAATCACCAAAGGTTTACCATAACCCGACTTGTACACATTTAAATCAGACCCGTATTAATATTACTAACACTAAACACTAACATCCTCTAGTGGCCTACCACATTAACACTCCACGAAAGAGACAATCGCTTAGCAGTGAAGTGTCATATCCTAAAGGTACCACCGTTTTTTAATCACTTATTAGATCGTAGGCGGTTAACACTTAAATCACGTTAATCAACCACCTAGATCCTATTTTGGAAACTACCTTGGTGGCTCTCTTCCGATTTCCAGTGGGGACACTAGATTACAGCGTCAGATCTTGAGAACATTATGCAGCTATCTGCCTTAACTCTACATTAGGCTGCAAGCTTTAAGGATTAACGGTCTTCAGTGACAAATACCCGCCCTTAGATTACGCTCAGGCAGTGTGCACGCAAAGTGGACAAGTCCACGGCCAGGAGCTGAGCTCGCCTCGACTTGTAATCTGACATGGAATAATGCTGTTTAGCGTGTTTATTTTAGCCCAAAGTCGAATGATATCTGTATTTGGTCTCTGTGCAGACCACGCTTAGTACGATAGGTCACATGACATATTTAATACTCTACGCCTACATCAACTATACTTCCTAGCTTGAATTGCGACAACCATGCTGGAACCATTCTTTTAACCGACTTAACACATTATACGGTCAGTGTCTTTAAATCACTAATTATAAGCACACTTACACTACCAACGGTTATACATCGCGTTTATGAAATGGTTATCTTTGCCATACATGGATCAAGGACATTGCCAAAAACACTAACTAGTATTACTCAACTAGTACTTAAAACAAGATAACACTGTAGTCACAATAAGACACCGAGCATCCCATCAATTTCCACAAAGAACATCACCAGCTCAGTTTTAACATATTAATAAAACGCAGAGTGCATTTTTAAAACACTTTGCAACTTCCCCTTCTCCTGGCTCACATCGTCTCTTTTCCTAATACATACATGTACACTTACATCTAAACACTAATAATCTAAACCAATTTATAAACATTGAAGCTCTTACCAAAGAGTCAGTATTTGCTCAATTGAGTTAAGCACAGGTATTTTATACCTGCATAGCACTCAGCCACTTTGAATTAGAACCACATCTTCTGACTGTTTAGGTAATCCACTTCGAGTCCTCTGGCTAGAGAGGGATTATTCATTTTAGCACATCCCAACTATTACCTGCACTTTCTGTTCCTCCATCCTTTCATTTTTCGATCTTCTTTCATTGTTTTTTACTCCCTTTCCTACCTCTGGGCCCAATCATATCACGTTTCTCCCTCATTCGTCAATCCACAGTCTTCCCCTCTACCCTCTCGGAGCGTAGGACTGCGGATAGCCATTTAACAGACGTCTGGCTCGCGTACCTCCATGCCCCATCGCCTCCCTAAGCATATGGACTCATCGCAATCCCAGCCTCTAGCGCGGAATCGTCAAGCCATATATCAACTAAAACACGTATAATCACAGTCCTATGACATATTATGTAAGATCGATTTAAGCATTCAGTCGGAACCCCTTCTAACTTGAACAAGCGCATAACACGCGCTTAATCCACTCACCATCGTGTTACACGATGTTACCCCAGCAAATAAACTCCCCGCGCTAACCATTTTCACTATTACCAACTAACTGACAGTATTTAATACCCCTAATTGGCCATTGAACCACCTAATACTATGTCCTTCTAACGTAAACATATTTTGTAAACCAGCGTAAACACTTCTAACCCCCAAACACTATATTTACGTTACTAAGACCATATCATATACTTATCTACTGACCTCAGTTACAGGAGTGATTGTTAATAGATGGTAAGAGCATCCATCAAGCTATCGGTTGCTCTGCATAACAACGCTGACAGCTTTTTTTTTAATCACTCTGAACAAAGTTCAAAAACAGCACATTATTAAAAGGACACACCATACAACCAGACTATCCTACGTTATAACCCTCCCTACAAGTCAGAGCTGTTTCAGATACATAATACACCTTCCATAGTCGCAACTACGTTACGCTGTGTAGTACCCCAGCGTGACTGCTAAAAGACCAGCTGCACCACGCAATATTAGAGGCAGCAGCACTAACACTAACGTGAGAAGAGGCTAAGCAGCAGCGATATTCAATCACATGCAGCTAAGCACGCTCACAAGCCATAGAACGCACTAAATACATGTAGACACTATGAGCCTTGCTGCTCCAGCTGAATATGCATGCAAGCAACGCTCCCTGTTGTATTGGCTTTGGGACCAACCTGTTTTCCCACGCTTTCTCTCTAGAGCATTGGTCATCTTCCCCACAGCATTACATAAGCTGCACTGAGGTGCTCGCGTTCCAAAGTCGAGATAAAAATGAAAAGTGTGGTAGGTTCTTAAGGTCAGGGTCTGAGGTGCTGGCACGCCATTAAAAGGACTCTTTCGACTCTTTTTTTCGAGATGATTGTACAACTTATTAAAGTCTCATATTTTTGTATCTGTATAAGTGATTCATGTTCATATATGTGTTAATTAGGTGATACTCCAAACCTATCATTGTTCCTCATATCCTCCTCCTGTATTTTTATTTCTTCATTCCTCTATTATTTCACCGTCCGTTTGTTACTGTGCACTCATACCTGTTATGTTCAGTTGCAGTTTATTTTGACTGATCGTCTCTCCTTAGTAATGTTATTATATATTTACTTATGTTGAATGACTCTTAAAAAGTAAAAAGTTATTGATATTTTAGTATCAACCATATACTCAGATTGAATCACTCATGGAATGTATGAAGAGGGCATGTATATGACATTTCATATAATGGAGTGAGTGACCCGTGATTGAGAAAGATTATCAATGTTAGCATTTTTGATACAAGTGTAAATCGCTGTTAGAGCACTTGATCCGGACTGGTAGATGCAATACTCTATCATACAGTTTAAATTGAACATGTCTCTATTGTCTTGGGGTCGATAATAGACATGGTGAGATATCAATTGATCATGTCTCAATTGACTCATCGAATGGCATACTAATTCTCAGGTCGGACCTCGGAATCAGGCCGTGCTACGATAGTACTGAGAAATGATACCTGATGATATTGATTGTGTACAGTCAGTTTACTCGGCTGTCTCAATCAGCTGTTAGCAGTAGCAGTTTAGCTCTGTGGTTGGTGTGTGGTGTGTGTGTGTTTGTGTGTGGTGTGCGGTCAAGACCGTCAGTACCCGTCAGTAACCGGTCAGTTACGCCGTCATTTACCCAGTCAGTACCTATATATCGTATATATACACGTCTCTAGTACGTCTCACGGTGAAATCACGGACTAACGGCGGCCTCTTACGACGGTCGGGTCGCTGAACTCTCCTAACAAACGTCATCAAATACGGACTGGACCGGGAAACACTTCATCGTCGTTCATCAGGCTTTTCTTCTTCTTCTTCTCCTGCCATTTAACGGCAGGCTGCAGACCGCCGTTAACTATTACGCCCCCTTGGCGGGAAGGGTGTAAACTGGATAATCATAATATATTAGTTGTCATTTACATTATAGTATATTTAGTTTATTTAATATATAGAATATTATTTAAAAAATAGCATTAATTAGGATGGTTAAAATAGGTCATTTACTCTCTCACACTCTCACTCTCACACACACACACACACACACACACACTCTCTCACACACTCTCACACTCTCCTTTCAGAACTGGACAATAAAGACGGAGCTAAACTGTTCAGTAAGCAGCCCAACAGGATCCAGCGAGTGGCTCGAGGGTCGGGGGTCGCCACCAGAGACGTCCAGGAGCTGCTGACTCAGTACACCAAGTTCGCCCAGATGGTGAAGAAGATGGGGGGCATTAAAGGACTCTTTAAAGGTACAGTGTGGGTCAGACACGGGGGCGGGGGGGGGTCTGAACCGGGTCTGAACCAGTCTGAACCGGTCTGAACCGGGTCTGAACCGGGTCTGAACCTGTGTCTGTGTTTCAGGAGGAGACATGTCAAAGAACGTGAACCCGTCTCAGATGGCCAAACTGAACCAGCAGATGGCCAAAATGATGGACCCCAGAGTCCTGCACCACATGGGTGAGACCTGGTCCACCTCATCACACCTGTACACCTGTACACCTGTACAGTGCTAATGATATTTCTTAAAGGGAGTTTGATGCAG